ATGCGGAGGCCACTCAGTCCTGGCACGGATTGGAGCAGTGGCGACGGGACCATCCACCAGCCGAGCCTGTTGAGGGCGGCCCAGAAGCCAGCTCACGGCGACAGAGGTCTCAGAACCACTAGGCTGCAGGACACCGGTGATCACGACCGAGAAGGAAGATGAGAGAAGACGTGCGAAGAAGCCAAACACGAGGAGGGAATGGGTTCTGTTTTCCAGCATTTGTTTTTCGTTGATGTCACTTACTTGACGAATGAAGCGCGTCGAGGGGTCTTCTAGCGGCATTACCAGCTGGCACAATGTTCTCTTCTCTGAGCGGGAGGCTTTGCGTGCGCGTGCTAAGGCTAATTAGTACACGACCAGCGGGGCGTTGCGTCAGTTTTCAGCAATAAGCGAAAGGGTTCGCGGGAAAAGTGATCGGAGGCGCAGAACCGTCACGGTCAAGAAAGAGGGAAACCTGCTTGTCGACGTCAACTTTGCCCCACGTGCGAGGGCAGATCAGTGAGAAGTGGTCACTGCTACTGTCATTTTCGATCGGGCAGAAAAGAGAGAGAGGGTCTACGCGTGTGCTCTGACCGGGCAACTAATGTGGCATTGTGCTAGACTCTATGTGAGCGAGGAAACATCTTGTGCTGAGGAGACGAGTAAAGAGAGAAGTGGGCGCGCACTGAATAGCCTGTATGTGAGAAGCGTGTTGCTGTACTAATCGGTTCGTGGTCTAAGAGAGAGGGGTATTCCCTCTGGTCGTTATCATCTTGTTCACTCTTGTTGGCTTCTCGAGACAATGCTCCACGTGCTGGCTGTCACTCCACATCTTGTCCTCATCATAATTAGCTTATATGCATTCGTGCATGAGCTCATTGCGGTTGCCATGGTTATTTTCGAAGCTGTCGATGTATGACTAGTAGGACACCATATTCACTATCCGCCTGTGTAGAATGTAGACGCGAAGCGGTAGATATGTTATGAACTTGGTTGTCTGACGAATTTCAACGCCACTCACACACAGACACTCTCACACACGCCCATACATGCATGAGACGAAGGCGAGAGGAGACAGAGTCCAGACTGTACACAGATCAAAATAGGCAGTGGAATACAGCTATGCACAGGTGGGGAGAAGACACACAGTGTTCCTCACTCTCTGACAGTACTCCCAACAACCAATCACAAGAAGAAACCTGCGAGGATAACAATCAGAATCACACTGATGATGAGCCAATTAAAACCAAATATCGTTACAGAGTTTGCTCCAGTATCTCGCCACACTCAGAACCCCACACTCCACTCTCTACCCTACACCCAGTTAGTAGCGCACAACCGAAACAGCCTCCCAGAGGCCAGCGCCAACCACCCAGATGAAGAACAGATCCTGCGATGAAGTCTTCAGTGCCGATGGACAACTCTGACGAAGAAACCGGCAGCTATGGCTGCCGCCACCCACAAACACTCAGTGAAGAGCCTCGAGATAGCCTGGCCAGACGCAGATACCCTCAGGGGTAGATGCGGTGAGGATGCCCCAGCTCCGGCAACCTTCAGAAAGGCCGGCTATGGCTGTCGTCCACGGCGAGGGTCTCAGGATGCCGCCTGTAGACAATCACTGCCACCAACTTGCTTGGCTTCTCCAAACGCTGCTTCACCGGACACTGGTTCACCAAACCGGACTGTCTGGGTCCGGTTGTCCGGATGTCCAGTTATATGTCCGGTTAACCGGTCCTCCAGTTCGATCCAGACACGGGTCCGGTGAATGTGTCCGGTTGTCCGGATGTCCATATCCCGGGCAACCATGCTTAAAACTTGCAAGGTAATACACACACATGCCTTTGCAAGTTGTCGAGGGGTACATGTTAGTGTTTATTAGTTACTGGTTAAGGAACTTAAGGGCAAATTTTACAGGATTTGGACCTGCAACCATTAGTTAGGTTATGCTCTGTATAGTCGACTGTCTTTTTTTTTTTTTGAAATCAACTGAGTCTTGGCTCACACCCCCCGACCCCCCGGCCCCCCCAATCCACCCCACCACCCCCCCCCAAAAAAAAGGAAAGCACCAACTTACCTTTAAAGAGATTGGTATCATGATGGAGCACAAGAGTTCGAACCGGAGAGGAATCACGACGAAGTCGTACCAGGGAGGTGACCTTGGATAACTCAAATACCAAGTCTGTGGATGTCATAACACACAAGGAATACCCAGGAGCAGTACATGGTATTAGTCTATTAGAAACAAACAAACAACAAACAGAAGTCCAGTAAAAAAAGGGGGGGAGAAGGAAGAATTTGCATTTTGCTTTTCGAAATGCTACAATTTACAAAGCAATACAGGTTATTACAGGGTGAGAAAAAAATGGGAAAAAACAAACCAGAAGAGACGGGAGGAAAAAAACATAAACAGGCTAGGCCGCCCGGGTCACCCTGTTTTCCCGGGCGGCCCGGCCGTGTAAGGACCAGGGAAGGTCCCAGCAAAGAATAAAAGAATAAAAAATCCAAAAAATCCGGAGACAAAACTATGTTATGCAGAAAAATAAACTGAACAAATTTTGCCTCAAGGTCACATCGAAACTCCTTACAAGGACCAGGGAAGGTCCCAGCAAAACAGCCGTCGTATGAACCAGGCCGGAGTGCCTGGATCACACAACACTAACAGCCGTCGTATGAACCAGGCTGGAGTGCCTGGATCACACGACACTGGCTGCCCCTTTATTAGGGGAAAAAAAAAAGAAGGTCTCAGCAAAAAATAAATTAAAACAAAAAAGCAAAAAAAAACTACGTTATGGCAGGTTATGCAGAAAATTAAACTGAACAACTTTTGCCTCAGGTCACACCGAAATTCCTTACCAATCTTATTCATTTAACATTTATTTATTTATTTAATTTTGGCGTGGCCGGGCAAGTGGTCCCGGACCACTCTGGTGGCCTAGTAAACAGGACAGAACTGACTGCAACTTACTACCTAGGCTGTTTTTCTGGGCCCCCGGGCACCCAACTTATGCCCAAGTGCACGCCCGGGTGCCCAGCCGGGCAAGTGGTCCCGGGCCACTCTGGTGGCCTAGTAAACAGGACAAAACTGACTGCAACTTACTACCTAGGCTGGTTTTCCGGGCCCCCGGGCACCCAACTTATGCCCGGGTACACGCCCGGGTGCCCGGCCGGGCATGACCCCCGGGCAGGGTTCCAGGCAGCCCCAGCGCCAAAAAAAAAAAAAAAAAAAAAAAAAAAAANAAAAAAAAAAAAAAAAAAACTCTGAAAAAAAAAAATGTTGTGTAGAATTGCAATACAAACGACATTTGGCTGAGGGTCACATCACAGAATCGGTGATAACAAAGAAAATAACAGAATCACACTAAGGCACCCCCTTTTAAACCCCTTTAGCCTACCCCTCTCACCCCCCCTTGACAGCCAATTCGCAAGAACAGAAATGAGCCCGGATTTGGGGTCGTCTAGGAGAGCGCAGAAAACAAAAAAAAAACAACAAAAAAAAAAACTTTTTTTCTTTTTTTTTTTTTGCAAGCCCGGGTACCCCGGGCGTCAGACCCCCCCGGGCATTACGCCTGGGTGCCCGGCCGGCCAGGACCGACCGGGCGTGAGAATCTTCCTAGCTTACTACCTTTTTTTTTTTTTTTAACAAGAAACAGTAGTTTATTACTACCAAGCACTACAAGGTAAGAGGATTTTCAAAAGAGAGGGAAACAAAAAAGAAAACCAGGAAAAAAAAAAATTGCAATAAGAACATTCAACAGAAGAAAAGCATTGTCATCTAAGCCTTGAATTTAAAAGGCAAAAAAAAAAATCATAATAAATAAATTTTAATAAATTCATAAATTATTAATAATAGTAATTCTTACCAATCATTAAGGAAAGCAGCAAATGACAGCTGACATGAGATCAAAGACAGTGAGACAGCGCAAAGAATCTTCTTTTTTTTTTTCTTAACAAAGATTCAAAGAATAAAAAGACTTCGAAGACTTCCAATGTCCTCCAGTCTCATTCCCACTTCTCCCTCACTTGTCACCCGACACCAAACCTGGCTATGGCGGTCTCTTCCCTCAACAAGGAATCTTCTCTCCAGCCTCTCCAAGCCTGGCTATGGTGGACCCTTCCCTCGCCTTGTCTTGATTCAAGAACAGCCGTTCCTTGTAGTCGTCTGATCGTTCCTTTTCAATTCGGCGGCGGCTATGGCCGCAAGCTGCCTGGTAAACTTCTCCCACCCTCAGGCCTCTTCGCTCTCTCTCACATGTACGTCTCCCAGAGCTTCTCCATGTCAGCCCCCCTCCATGTCCCCCCCTCCTTTTCCCCCCTCCC